TCCCCCTGTACCCAGTGTTCAGGATGGGGAGTAGGGCTGTTGCTCACCAGTTTAGCTTTTTATCTTTTGCGTGGATTTGTCCCAGGAGGCAGTCTTCCTAATAACACATAGTAGGTACTCAATAAATATGTATCGATTTCATTTAATTTGCCCTCTCTGGTAATTAGGATTTGGGGGCATGAAAGGGCTTTCTTGGCTACATGCTGTTAGAGCCCTTGACCTCAGGTGGTAGATGAGGCAATATATGGCATGAGGCATAGGCTTTCTAGCTCCGGACATGCCTAAAGGTAACCAGGGACCTTGAGGTTATTTGTAGATCCTGGAGCTCTGCCTCCCCTCTTACTTTGACTCTCTTACCCAAAAGGAGCCTCTCTTTGCATAGATTAATAAGAATAAGAGCTAACATTTCTATAGTTCCTACTATGTGTCAGGGACTACACACATCTTTTTTAAGCATTACGTCATTTGATCCTCACAGCAACCCTGGGAAGCATTTCCTCTTATTATCCCCATTTTGCAGATGAGGAAACTGAGGCAAAGGCGAAGTGGTTTGCCCACGGTCACACAGTTAGTGTCTGACAAATTAATATAATAGCCAGCTCTGATGCTGTTAAAATATGAACATCGAAATGTATTCTCTGACCAGTGGATGTTTCCAGACAGCAGCGGTACTTTATCATTTAGCTCATGATAATATTTCCTAGAGCAGATTTCTAACCTCATGTGTGCTTACGTGTGTGCAGTGTGGTGAATCCTAAAGACCCCTTTCAGAATAACACTTGCTGCCTACATTCATAATTGAAGGAAATGGCGAATTTCAGTTAGAGGCTAGTGAAAATAATGACGTAGCTTTTTCTCATCCAACTCCATAACACTTGAAATGTTTTCAAGGACTCCCGTCTTCAAACAAACAAGTTACCTTCCTAAACATTTCTCTTAAAGAGAGCCTTGTCTCAAGGTTCATATCTCTCGGCATCCTGTCCTTTTCTCTTCAGTCTATTCCTCTTAAAGATAGACCCAGACACCTTCTAGATGGATATCTCTTCCTTCTTCTCGTAGCAATAGCATTTTGCAGTAGAGAATACCCAAAAGATTTAATAGAAGGATGAAAAAGGCTAAACACTTTTAGATGGATCAAAAAAATAAGTAAAAAAGAGAAAAGCCTCATTACTTTCAGAAAATCAATTTGACATCCAAACTCTGTAGGAGAATTGCTTCCTATCACTTTGCCCTGATCTCTCTACCCACTCTTTCCTGCCTTTGGGTTTTTTTAAGCCCTTTCCAATTATTCTCCTTGCCTGCTATCCGGGTCCAAAAATTATTCGTGGTCAAAATGTAACATGCTAATTTTAACATTTTTCTATAAGTTCAGAGTACATTTTGAACTCAAATGATGAACAGCTTGTATGCGACTCCCTTAATTCATTTAGATTAAAACATCTCTGTGTTTTGGAAGGTATTCACATCACACTTTTTCCCCCCTGGTAACTACTAGATTTTAGTTGACATTTTAAAAATTACACATAGTGAGGAATAGATTGCATGCATGCAGAAGACTCTAGAATCTTTCCTATGGGAGAATCTCTGCCCTTTGTATCAGTGGCTCTGCATTGGTTGGGGAGAACTGCATCATGCTCCCCCGCCCCAAGTAAAATTTTACTAATCTCTAATCTAGTGTCCCATCACATTCCAAAAGTACCTTCCAACTTAAAGTAGCTTCATAGAAGACACCTTTTGAAATTATGCTCCAATTTTCTTATCCACTCTTTTGGGGATCCGATAAAAATCCATTATATTTTTTCTTCTCTTTGCATACTACATTATCCCCTTTTTCGTTAGTACAGGGGAAAATTCCATTGAGATGTGACCTTAGGTAGACACGGAGACATTTCCCTTCCCTTCATCTGCCCCATGAGCTGTTCACAACCTTGTTGTTTTTGTTTTTGTTTTTTATCATCTCCCTCACTCCTGCAACAACTCCCAGGCTGGGACTTTTCCCCTTCCCACCCTGTTGACCTTTGGAATAGCCCAGCAGTGTCTCCCCTACTTTTGTTTAGCCAAGCCCTGCTGCACCAAATACACTTCTGCTTTGCATGTCTGTTACTGGCTTTGAAGGAGCGCTCCATGTTGGAATGGGAAGGTGTAAGGGAAAGTAGATTTCTAGCACGTTATTCTTTCATTTGATATTGATGGTTGCCCATGAAAATGAAATGAACTTTCAGGTTAAAATGGAGGTTACAAAAATGAGACCTGGGGTAGAGAGGTGAGATGGTTTATGAAGTGGGATGCCCAAGTGGTTGATTATTGCATTGCATGAGGGTTGCTGATGGACTGCTGGTGCAAACTCCTTTTTCCTTGCCAGAAGATAATTTTCTGGTCACTAAAGATTTTAGAATCTCTATTACAAATAAAAGATTCGCTTATCTAGTAGGAGAGAGCCCTACACAGAGAGGCTGATAACTACAGTGGTGGCCTGCTGTATTTCTGAAGCCCCTATTTACCCTCCTTTCTTTATGTCTCCCTTTTCTCTATTATGTTTCTAGTATAAGTTTGGATCAGTGATGGTGGGTGAGTGAGAAGGAGCAGAATTTAAACACACACACACACACACACACACACACACACACACAGAATCATAAGAGTAGCCAAAAAAAAATGTTTTTGATTTGAAAGCTAACAGGATAAACCATACAGTCTATGTGACATGCAAAATATGTAAATTTATGCAAATAAGCATATGGCTTTAATTTTATATGACTATAGAAAGCCCCAAGAAAAATCTTAGTGGAGACCATAGTGCTAAAAGATCTATAAGTAAGGGGGCAAGAACTCAGACCTAACACTGTCAGCCTAAGGTTTTGAAAGCCTTCATATGTTTCTTCTAAATTTCATTTTCATAAATAACTGAACTAAAAATGAAAAATTACAGCTCTCTAATTTGTGTGAGCACTAGTGTTTATGTTAGCTGTACATCCATGTCTTCTACAAGTCTCCCATTCCTTACCTTGGAAAAAATACTTGGTTCCCTGGGTTACAAAAGCAAAATGTCCTCAGATTAAAAAAAAGAAAAAAGAACTGTTGACAGAAGAAAATATATTTCATTGCCTTTCCCAATTTGTTTAGAATTCAGAAAGAGGTTTTATTTTGAAGTTTAGATACACATATGCATAAATGTGAATGTATATCTCTAATTATAATCTGTATCTTCATCTCTACCACCAGAGTTGGCTTTGGAAGGTAATTATAGATCTCTTAGCTTTGACCTTTGAAACTTTTCTTGGCAAACTTTCTTCGAGGAGTACCAGTTGATAACACAGGAGTTTTCATTGCTTGTTCAGATGGTTATTAAGGCTTTCAAATTAATGTCTTAACATTTTATTTCTTGTGATTATCAGTATGGAACATTCCTTTTTGAAAATGAATGTTGTCCCAAGGCTAGTTCACTTTCAGCCCAGATATCTAACCTGGTTTAGAAATCCTTTAGGAAATCAATTAAAGCCATTAGTTGGGAGATGACATCTTTTTTTTAGGTGAAACTTTTAGAAAAATATATAATCTTAGAGCAATTTCCTTATACCTTGGTATCTCCACAACTTTAATTAAATGTCAAGGGCAATTATGTTCTCACTAGCAATTAAATAATGTTAAGTGTATATAACAGCTGCAGGCAGTGCTTTGAAATATATATATGACCAGGGGGGGAAATTAAGTCATACACTCATTTTTGATGTCACAATGGATCAAATCACATTAATTAACTAAAATTCTATTTTTCTTTAACTCTTGTGTACATTTCTAGTTGTAATATTGTAGTAAATGTACTGTTTATTGATTAGCATGATGATATTCAAGGAATCCTAAATATATGAGAAGCCAGGTTTTCCTAAATTAGATAATGCAGTGAACATATTGCCTTATGCTGCTCCAGTTAAATGAAATTACCATTCAAGAGCAAAATTAATCAACAAGATGAAATTTCAGAACCAGAAGTAGTAGAACTTGTGAAAGTGTACCGGTTTTTTAATTAAAATAGCTCCACTGTTTATTCTGTTTTCTTCTTGCCATCGCCTAAATTCCTTTATTGAGAAGGATCATAAAATGCCCTTTGGGTGATCAGGGTGGGATGGGTAGAATGAAGGGAGCAGACAACCTCATCTATAATACCCCTCCCCTCTCTTGTGCAAGCTGTTGGCCTAAACATGTTATCTGCCAACCATGAATTATCCTATACCAGGGCGATTGGATAAGAGGCAGGGCCAATCACTAACCTCTAAAATAAAGTAATTATTTTTTCCATGTTTATTTATGATTTTTGTCTTACATATTTTTAGAACAACTTCCTCTTTTAGATTATAATTCTTATTGTTAGGGTGCTCCAAAATCATAGGAAATTTTGTTTTATTTTTGTAAATGAAACTTAGAAAATCATGTGGTGGGCTTTTTTTTCCCCCAGTGCTGATTCTAATTAAATAAGTTCTTCCCCAAAGACTGAGAAGGCAAAATCAGCCACCAGAGGTTTAACATCAACCCTCATGTGAATTGCATTCTGTCAGTTCATTTTCATCTACTTATGTACTTACTTTAACTAATGGGGATACTGATGTGTTTATTTCTTTCTTAAAAATAATACATTCACAATTCAGAAGCCTACAGGGTCTGCATATTTATAGCACAGGAGATGTAAGGGATTATAGATTTAATAGCTGTCTTTATATTTCTACAATCAGTGTCTATGCTTCAGTTACTGTAACAATATTGCTGCTGATCCTTTTCTTTGCATTATTTTTGTGTGACATTTGTTTTGCATTGTAGAGGCTGTGCTTTGAAAAAAATAAATTAGGTTAAAACAAAAAAGACCCATTTAATTTGTACAAAATGGCGCCATAGGGATGCCTGTCAAGAAATGTATATAGAAATGCTTCCAATCATATGCACATATTCAGCACACATATCATTTCCCAGAATATGCTAATTTCATTTTTTTTGTGTGAAATCGTCAGGGGGGAATTTTGACAGCTCTTTCGACGCAGAGAAAGGTGTTGGGACAATTGTCATTGCAAAACCTTTGGATGCAGAGCAGAGGTCCGTCTATAATATGAGTGTGGAAGTCACCGATGGAACAAATGTGGCTGTCACTCAGGTAGACTATTAAATCATTTACTTGTGAAAATATTAAAGATCATAATTAAATTGGGATGCAAACAAATAAAAAGAAATTAATGCTTTTTATTTTCCTCCCCTCGACAAGTTGTTGTCTTGGAGCCGATTGAATGTATATAGATTTTTGATGTTTCTTTTTTTTTTTTTAAACAGCTTGTACGTGCAAACTACGGAGTGGGATTTTGTGACATTATTTTATGAGTCAACTGTCTCTTTTCTGGAAGTCTTCTTTGGAAGGAACAGTTACATTTCATTTTCTGATTTGTATGTGTATGCACGCATGTGTATGGGTACACACAAGTATACATGTATGAGTATAATTCTTTGGCAGTAGCAGTAAAATAATTTTCTTAAATTTACAACGAGGAATAAAAATAGGCCTTCTGGGAAAGCCGTTCTAACCATTTTGGGCCCTTCACCCCCTCCTTTTCTAGCAATAGAATTAGAGAGTCTTCAGGACTAGATTGCCTAATCCAACCCTCTTTGCCACATTGAGGGACCCTGAGGTACAGAGAGGGTGAGTCACTTGCCCTGGTTTACCAGACTAATTAATGGTAGAGGTGGATCTAAAATCAAGGTTTCCTGACTCCTGGGTCAGCACTGTTGCCTCTGCATCCTGCCTTAACTACTATTTAGTTCTTAAATGCATTTCCTAGTTGGGGTTACCAAATGAAGGCTAATTTGGGGAAGAAAATGAGAAACTCTTGACTTTTCATACAGTTTAGGTCAATATAATATGCATTTATTGAGGGCTGTCTGTACACTAGCTACTTTTCTAAGTGCTAGGCATGCAAAAAATAAAAATAAAACATTTTATGCCCTCAAGGAGCTTACATTCTACTAGGGAGAACTAACACAGATAAACAAAAATGTAGACAGCAAACACAAAATAGTTTTGGTGAGGGGAGGGGGCAGTAAGAGAGAGCATTAACAATTAATTCATTATTAATTGTATTCTTAAAACACACTAGTACAATCTGACAAAGTGGGACTCTGGGGAGAAAGGAGTAAGGCTTTGAGGGTTTCTTTATATTTCAGTGAAGAGTTTTTAATAAGCCTATTAGCATATATTGTGGAAAATTTTTAACTTCAAAGACTCCTTTTTCTCCTTTTGTTTTGTTTTATTTTAATATGACATAAGCTTTGATTTCTCTTAAAGCAATAACAAATGTGTCCTTTTCCAGCCATTGTCTCCTCTTTGGACATTGCTCCAGACATGTGGAGAGATTCTTCCCTTTGAATATGGGCCATTACGAAGGTTGAAATCTAGATATATCCAGAATGACCTAATCGTAGTGGATGCCACAGTGTTGCTGCGCCAGTTAAAAAATATATGATTCTTTGTAGAAACACATCAAATACGAAGCAACCCATATGGAAAACAAACTATTCATCAGTATAAAGTAATAGCTTCCTGTCTCCCTGAAAGTCACTTCAAATGAGGTCCCTAAATTAACCAGTGTCTCAGCAGCTCTAGCCACTGGTTTTGAGCTCCATTTAACAAACAGTTAGAGGCATATTTGATTAAAATACAAATAAATAGTAGAATTATATTCTCCGTTCTTTTCTGCTGTGTTTTATGGCTGCTGAACACTTAGAGGAACAAGTTTTTTAAAACTATTCTTCACAATCCACATTTAGGAGTAAATAGAGTAAGACTTGTTCTCCAGAGCTCTTTAAAGCTAGGGGAGAGCATAGAATGAAATTATTCAGACCTTTTCAGTTCTGAAACCAAAATTCAGCTCAGAATTTATAAAGTACCTGCTATATGTGAGGCACTAGGCATGCAAAGACAGAAACAAAATAAAATAACCATAGTTCCTGCCCTCAAGAAGGCTGGCATGCTGTAGATGACTGATATAAGTACACTAATGACAGTCTTATCTTTTCATTAAAAATGGTAGAGGGAAACAAGGAAGCAGCATCTAAGATGCATGTCTACATCTTTGTCTTAACATAAAAAACCTGGGTTATTGTCAGCATCACATAAGAAAATTGTATTAGCTAGGCACCCTTGTGCAGATGGGGCTCTGAGATAGGGGAATGGAAATCCCACTCAACCTCTGGGAATTCAGGTTGGACTCTCTCATGTCTTCTCTGGCACGTTACAGCAAGATTACTGCTGTGCCTAAGCCATTTAAGTTTCTAAACTAAACTTGGTGACATTTTACAGAAATATGTTCTATTTAAGAAAAAAGAAACCACCTAAAATTTGTTTCAAAGCCAACAACTCTAAGCAACTGAGCGTTTCACCATAAAACAGATGACCATCACCAATGAAATAAATTTCCTCTGTTCCACAGCACTTTTCTAGTCTCCCTTCCAAACATTTTTTTTTGCTCTTTTGCCCAATTAGAAATCATGAACTGTGATCTGACATATTTTAAGTTAAGGCCAAATGCATTTTATAAAAAGCTCTTCATGTTTATAGAGCTTCCCAGAATATCAGACAGGCCCAGTATAATGTCCAGAGCCAAGGTGGTACAGTAGATAGAGGGTTAGACCTGAATTCTGCAAGTCCTGAGTTCAAATACAGCTTCAAACACTTACTAGTTGAGTCACCCTGGGCAAGTCACTTAATTTTTGTTTGCCTCAGTTTCCTCATCTATAAAATGGAGATAATAATAGTACCTGCTTTCCAGGGTTGTTGTGAGGATTTAATGAGATAAATATTTGTAAAGCTCAGTCCCTGGCACATAGTAACCTCTATATAAATGCTAGCTACTATTATTGACATCACCATCATCATCATTAGTATTAACTGGGTTACCCTCTGGCACACACAGGGAATACACTAGAAGAGAGACATACACATAGAGAACAGTAAGAAGCCAAGCAGTTCCCACCTTGGGCACTTCAAGGTTCGTCTCCTTTCTCTTCTCCTGGTATCTTTAAGCTGCTCCTCCCAGATGTAGTGTCTCTGCAGGACTGCTACTCAGTTGAGCTCCCTGGGTCTCCTCCTGTCTTCACCTCACCTCCCAAAAGCTGGCACCTTTCTCAGTTCATAGATCTCTTTCCTTGCTTAGAGCTAAGATAACTGCTTTTCAAAAGATGACCTGAGGTAGGATGAGTACTTCAGCCAAGCCACTCTCTAATTCCATTAAGCTTGACTGTAGAGCTTCACCTCCTCCTAAAAGGCTAATAAAGTGTAAAACCTTCTTTGCATTTTGTCTCAGTTAAGAGATGCCATTTGTAACCGTCATATTACATACAGCTAGGTCCCCATTAGTGCGAACGATGAATCTCGTTAAGTGGTCTCATTATAAAGATCCACACTGCATATTTCTGTTGGGCTGGAAATAATGACCATTCCTTACAGAATTATAACTTCGAATAGTTTGAATTCTAATATGTGCAGCCTTCCCGGGACTGATTTTTCCTTACTATTGGAAGTTATAGTTCTCTAAGATATAGTCATTCTTTCTAGCCCTATAGAAATATGCAGTATGGATCTGAATAATGAGATCACTTAATGACATTCATTGTTCTCACTAATGGGGTCCATTTTGCAGTTTGTTAACTAATTATTCTCAAAGCCATGTAAAATCACAAAGTCTTTAGAACTTGCTAGGAATATTAGAGCTAATCTCTTCCAATCCTTTTACTTTTTTTTGCAGTTGAGAAAATTGAGGCCTTGAAAAGTAGCCTAACTTGTTCAAGGTTAGTGAATGAGCTTGTGGACTAGAAAAACTGGTATTTGACTCCAAATACAGTGCTCTTTCCAGGACAGCATGCTTCCTTTCACTATAGCTTATCCTGTTACCCCCTACACACTATCCCAAGTAGGAGAAATTACTTGTCATAATAGATTTTCTCACATATCTGCAGAATCAGTCCAGGATAACATATCCTTCTTACAGATTAAAATGATTTCCAATCAGAATTCAACTATAAAAAGATTAGTTGGAGAAAAGGAAATTATTTGGTTCAACTTACACTTAAACACTCATTCATATGTGTGTTAGATTTACATACATGCCTTTTTTACCATTTTCCATGCCAATGGAAGGTTAGCAGTGAAGTCGATAACCCGAGACCATGGATGATTTGAGAATTATAACTGGTTTTATAAAAGATGATAGATGATTTTAAATCATTTGGTTTTCTACTTAAGAGACAAGAGTTATGTAGTGACTAGAAAGTCAGCCTTGGAGCCAGAAAGTCCATCTCTGCCTCTCACTCTGTGACTATGTCCCTTAAGCAACTCTCTGTGACTTAAGTTGCAGAGATTGAGCCAACTTGCGTTGGTTATGTGAGTTTCTTCATTGGGGGTTCCCCAAACCAATGAAATCCTAGGTCTAGTTGCTTTTACTGTCTTCTATCTTTTCAGTTATGTTTTAGTTGTGATAACATTAAAAACTACCTTGAATTGCTTGAGAGCACAGCAAGGTAGCATTAGAATGTAGCCCAGAAGCATTCTGGGAGGTGTCAAGTAGGGAAACTGAGATTGAAGATCCGTTTGAATATGCAGGGGCCCAATTCATTTCAGTGTTAGCACTTTTATTACCTTTGAGTTTCAGTTAGTATTTTTGTGCCTTATTTCCTCTAGTAACAGGCAGCGGAGATTCTATGGTGGTGCTAACTTGAAAGAGATTTTGTGCTAATCAAGTATTATCGTATTGAAAACCTGGGTGTTTCTGGCCTGTGTGTTGTTCCCCAACAGAATGAAATCTATAATAGGTAATCCATTAAGTGAATACAGTACAGACTCATTCATTCAACAGGTATCTGGAGGAGATACAGAAATTAAATAGAAAATGATCACTGTCTTCATAGGGACAGTGGGAAGGGGAAGGGAACAAGCATTTATAAGTACTTACTGTATACCAGATACTATACTAAATGCTTTGCAAATGTTGTCTTATTTGATACTCACAACAACCCTGGAAAGGTAGGTGCTATTATGATCCCTATTTTACAGTTGAGGAAACTGAGACAAATAGCAGTTAAGTGACTTGCCTGGGATTACATAACAATTAA